TTATTTTTCGAATCAAGTTACTAATCAAGGTGTTAACAGTAAAAGGAGGCTCTGCGGCCTGTGGGGTAACACCATTGTTGGAAGGACAGCTGATTGAGATGGAAATTGACACAGGAGCTGCGGTCTCGCTGATGTCACAAAAATTACTTAAGAAAAGACAACCATTTTTCACTGACACATACCAAACTCATGTTGAAGACGTATACAGGATAGACCGTTACCATTGCTGGAAAGGCGGAGGTCCTAGTGGAATTAAATGGACAAAATGCTAGACTTCCCATCTACGTGGTCAAAGGAGACTATCCAGTGCTGATGGGCCGGCCTTGGTTGGAAAAGATTCGTCTGGACTGGATGAAGGTGAACATATTGGCACAAGAAGGAACAGGGCTGCCAGCTTTGTTGCATAGACATGCAGCTATCTTCAAAGTTGAACTGCGAAGTATGAAGGGGATTACAGTGAAACTACAGCTCAAGCCAGACTCTCACCCTAAGCACATGAGGGCTACAAACATTCCCTATGCCCTTAAACCAAAGGTGGATGCCGACTTACAACGGCTGGTCCAGATAGGAGTCTTGGATCCGGTTCCACATAGTGAGTGGGCAACCCCTGTAGTTCCGGTGATAGAGTGTGATGGCTCTCTTCGCCTGTGTGGAGATCTCAAGGTGATCGTGAATCCGGTACTAAAGGTCGAACAATACTCACTTCCCATCATCGACGAACTGTTTGCTGGGTTGACTGGTGGGAAGAAATTTAGCAAGATTTATCTAAACCAAGCCTATCTGCAGATGCATGTAGATTGAGGAGTCACAGAAGTACCTCACGATTACTACCCACAGAGAACTCTTCAGATATTGCCGCTTGCTTTTTGGTATTACTTCGGCACCCGCCTTGTTCCAAAGGGCCATGGATCAGGTTTTGAGTGGTCTTTCTGGGGTACAGTGTTACCTTGATGACATCCTTGTCACAGGAAAATATGATGAGGAACATCTGCGGAACTTGGAAAAGACTCTAGATAGACTTTTTCAAGCCTGCTGTGGAGTACTTAGGCCATGTGATCGATGCGGAAGGTCTCCACACAGCTCCATCGAAGGTAACAGCCATTGCAGAGGCTCCTGTTCCACTGGATGTCAGTCAGCTGCGGTCTTTCCTGGGTCTCCTGAACTATTATGGCAAATTTATTCCACAGCTGGCGACACAGCTGAAGCCTTTGCATAGGCTACTTAAAGAGGGCAGACCATGGTCATGGACCAAGGAGTGTGACATTGCTTTCAAGAAGTTGTAGCACTGTAAATGGGCTGTGTGCACTTACCTGCAGGGGCAGACAGGGTCCAGCAGGGGCAGTGCTATATTCCTAGCCTCAAAGCAGGAGGGGGCTGTGGGGTGTTCTAGGATCCCCCGGGATCCGTCCCAATAGGAGGGGGCGGCAGGGTGTCCTGGGATAACCTGAAACCCCCCTTGGAACTCTCTGGAAGGTAAGCGGGGCCAGGGGCTGACACACCGGACCGGTGTATAAAAGCCGGACCTCTGGAAAGGTCTGGGGCCAGTCCAAGACAGAAGCTAGAAGATGAGCTCGCTAGTACCCTGGGACCCCTAGCCCCACTGCCCTTGTAAGGGACGGGACTCTGTGGGCCCGTGGTGAGACCCTGAGAACCCCCGGCCCGACGTCCTTGTAGGGCCGAGTCCGAGTGGGCCAGTGGTCGGGACCCGCACCTTGGCTGGGTCGGGTCAGTGCAGCCTTCCCTAGGTCACTCGTAGCCGGAGGACCCAGAGCCCGTAGCCCCGTGATAGGGCACAGTAGCCCGGAGGCAGTACCTCCCCAGGCAGTAGTTAGAAGGGCCGTTGCCCTGTGTAAGACTGGGGCTGTACTGCAGTGTTTCTTTGAATAAAAGTGTTGCCTCCAAAGATTCGTCTCTGCCTTCCATAAAACCCACTACAAAGGCAAAGGCAGCGTTGATTGATGAGAAAGTGTTAACTCACTTCGACCCGTCCTTGCCAATTCAACTGGCGTGTGATGCCTCTCCATTTGGAGTTGGGGCTGTTTTATCACACATCACATCTGCTGGAAAAGAAAGGCCCATCGCGTTCGCGTCAAGGACGCTGAGCAAAGCGGAGAGGAATTACCCACAGATGAAAAAATAAGCGTTGGGAATTATCTTCGGAATCAAAAAGTTGTATTCCTATCTGTTCAGACGGAGATTCACGTTGCTGACAGACAATCGTCCTCTGACTTCCATCTTTGGTCCATACTCGGGAATACCAACCTTAGCAGCGAGCAGACTGCAGCGTTGAGCACTCCTCCTGAGTGCCCACAACTATGACATCAAGTTTCAACGGTCGGAAGAACACACCAACGCTGATGGCTTGTCACGCCTTCCTCTGCTGGACTGCCCTAAAAGTAGCGAACGGAAGGTTTTCTACTTCGATAAGAACACGCCTGTGACTGCTCAACAAATTAAAAGGGAAACAAAAGGAGATCCAACACTAAATTTCGATTTAAAGCTCTCTGGAGAGTGATGAGATCCAACACTGTCCAGAGTGTTCGACCGAGTGATGAGAAGTGATTTGCCAAGTGTCTTTGATTCGCCGCCTGATCAACGGCCTTATCTTTCTTGGGGAAAAGAGTTGACGGTAACGGCGGAATGCCTACTGTGGGGTTTGCGTTTCATCATACCGCCAAAACTGAGGAAACCTGTCCTGGATGAGCTGCATTCTGGACATTGTGGCATCATCCTGATGAAAGAGTTAGTGCGTAGTTATATATGGTGGCCGGGACTAGACCAGGATATTGAAGCTACAGCTGGATCCTGCATTTCATGTCACGTCTACCGAAACACGCCAAGCTTGGCCCCTTTGCATCCCTGGGATTGGCCAGCGAGCCCGTGGCAGCATGTTCACATATATTTTGCAAGACCAGTGGAAGGAACGATGTTGCTGGTTGCTGTTGATGCCCATTCAAAGTGGCCAGAGGTCTCAGTCATGTCTACCATAACATCGGAGAAGACCATCGAGATTCTGAGGGAGATGTTTGGACGTCTCGCACTGCCTGAGCAGATAGTTACGGACAATGGGCCATCTTTTGCATCTAAAGAAATGCAGAAATTCCTACAGAACAATGAAATCAAGCAAATCCATCTACTAATGGACTGGCAGAGAGACTGGTTCAGACACTCAAACATGCTTTAAAAGCATTCAGAAGGGAGGCACCACTGAAGCAGTGACTCGACACTTTCCTGCTCAAGTATCGCAATACACCGCATGCGATAACTGGAATGTCCCCTGCTTATCTACTCATGAAAAGACAGCTCAGGACTCGCCTTGATCTATTGAGACAAACACCCACCAGAACATTGTTCCAAGACAAGCAGCAAGATCAAGTCAATTTACGAGCAAGGCGGTCTAAGGAGAGACAGTTCTCTGTCAGGGGTCCTATCTATGCCCAGTACTACACCACTAAGGAAAAGTGGGTTCCTGCAACGGTTCTTCAAAAGACTGGACCTGTCTCATATAGAGCCAGCACCCAAGAAAACCAGACCTGAAGGAGACATGTCGACCAGTTATTTCCTTGTGAACCTGCGGCTACAACCTCTGAAGTAAATACTCCAGCGTTTACCTTCAAAAGTGAGCTGACACCCTATGGGAACGTCTCAGCACCTACACCAGCCCCCTCTATACCACTGCCAATGGAGACCACTCCTCCGAGTACAACCGAGGCTCAACCGGAGCCTACATCTACACCTGAGCCTGTTCCGGTGTTGCGGCGCAACCCACCGAGAGAAATAAAACTTCCCGTACGTTATAGATAGTGCTAACCCTGGAAGCGAGGGGCAGAATTATCTCCTTTGGGTTTAGCGGAATGTTGAGGCAGTCTAACCTCTCTTCCAAGTTAGAGAAAGTTATTGTTTGGATTAATGTGGACATTACCATTTAAGGGGGGAAGATATGTTATGTTTCAAGTTGGGTGTAATTGTCTGCGGTCCCTAACAGTCTGTGAAGCTTCACGTGGAGCTATAAAGGACCGCAGCCCCTGGGGTCTGGGGAGCACTTCCCGGGTCGTAGAATAAAGGATTTGTCGATGCTGAAGCTTCTCTGCCTCTGATCTTTATAACAAGTGTATCCAGGGTCTGCTCTGGCGGGTCAAGACACCTACACCTTCACGCCTTCAGGACGGGGAAGCCACTGGCTGCGACGAACCAACCTCAACAAGGTTGCCCGTGACAAAGGAGGTGTGGTAGCATCCGACTGAGCCGCGGCTATACGGCCCAGTTACCCGGCCACGCGCCCAGGCGATGTTCCCACGGTGATGAACAACCACCACATGCAAGACCACGGAACCGCGGAGTCAAATTACATTGTCGTTTCTTCACGCCGGAGGTTGTCGTCGGTTGTTCGGGTTGGAAGGTCCGGTTGAACCTTGTATGTCCCGTCTCATCTTATGGGTTACCCGTTTATTACTGTCTTAACATCTGTTCTGTACACATGCACTCCACACCTATACACACAAAGTGACAGGACTTAGGTTGAGTTCAAAATTGCTTGTTAATTGACCGACAAGTTAATATTTTCTCCCTTCATCCCTACATACTCCCCTGCCATCAGAATTACCCTGAATCCCTTAGATTCTCACGGGTTGTGTTGAGTCGAGGACGACTTTTCTTCAGGGGGTGGGGTGATGTTGTGCTAATACTAACGCGACTTGGGATCCCAGGTCATTGTTAAGATGACGCCACAAAGGAAAGGAAAGAGAAAGCGGGGCGAGAGAGGGGACGTCACCGAATCGGTGAAATGCAACACAGAGAGTTGGTTAACACAGATTGTTAAATTAGAGGTTACGTGTGAAATTTGACAAACAGAGATACACAGAGAGCGAGAAAACTAACTTAAATCCTCTCTATTCAAGGCCTCGACACAGAGGCGCTGTGTCTCTGTGCGTCTATGTGTGTGTCCCTCTCTGCTTGTGTGTCTGTTTGTGTGACTCCGTGTCTGTGTTTTGTCTCTCTCTCTCAAATTTAGCAGTCTTTGGAAGAACGTAATCAACCAGGTAGGGTATTGACTGTTATGTAAGCCGACTCTGTGTGTTGTATTGCATTGTATTTCTAAGTTTTCTAGGTTTGTTTTCTACCTGATGACGATTGCTTGTGTTGCAATCGAAACTTAGTATTCTATTATTTAATTTAATTTATTTCTACGTGACTTTACCGAAAGAACCAAAGAGTACTCACAATTAAGTTATCGTGCCGTCTGGCTTTCATGCGCGTGTCACTTGCCAAAACACCCTGGTGGTGTTCAGTAACAAACACCAGCAGTAGCGGCTACTAGATTTCACGCTGTGGATATTTTTCGGAAATATTTTTTTTCATTTATTAGTGGGGTTTTTTTGCATTCATGGGTAATTGTTGGAGTTAAAATCTTAACATGTTTGTACTTGTTTTTATCTTGTTGATTCAGGGCCCCCTTGTGGCCGACTGGGCCTCCTATGTGTCGCATAACGCTGCCACATCACCCCCCTCCCCTCCCCATAGTTGCGCAACCTCGGTTGAGAACCACACGGAGACTGTTTTGGGGAACTTTGCCCGGCCTCCATCAATGATTTGCCCTGGGTAGGGTAGGTGGGGGGATGAGTTAGTGGGGCTGGCTTCAGCCATTGGAGAACGCTTCCTGGCAGAGCAACCCCACTACCGCTGCAGCCCGAGGACATTCCTGCGCTGGTTTGGGGGATTTTTGCTCTCAGATAAACTTTTGGGGAGGCAAGAGACGGCAGCTTCCTCCTCGTTCCTGTCCCAGCAGCAGCAACAACTTCAACAACGTCATCATCACTATCATCAACCAGAGAAGGTTTGCGTTTAGCAGTTAATGTGTGTGTAATCAAGTGGTCTGGTGGTCTTGGGTTTCATGACATGACCCTGTCAGGTTTAATTATTATTACGCTTGCTTAGCCAGGAAGGCCTCGAGACTATTTAATCTATACTATTTACTGAGCTATTTTTTTATTTTACGAGGTAAGACCTACTGAGCTTTGTAGCTATTTTTCACAAGCGACCTAGCTATCACAAATGATACATATTTGCTCGGTTTAAGCACGTGACTTGTGTGGTGCTACGGCCTCGAAGCTACTCTGCAAGCGCCGCAACCCCCCCCCCCGGCCCACACACCGAGTACACACACGCAGCGCACTGGCGTGGGATTGCTTGGCACAAAGGGTTTTAATCTGAAGGGTCCCTATGAGGAAAGTCCCACGGTTTCCTGGTGCCAGGGGATTGGACGACCCTCGCAGGACAATTTACATCGCGGTGCCCCTGAGTTGGCTTAATATTGTTTGGGCGCAAAAAGGTTACCGGGCCAGCCGCGATGAGTCAGTCACGACATCCGGAGAAGGCTGGCTTGAAAAAGTGAGAAAGGCAGACGATGAGGTCAGGGGAGCGTAGCGCCACGACCCCCCCTCCCGACCCCCAAACCGAATTCACACCCAGATGCCCTCTACTGTTAATCCGGATTAACAGTAGATCACAGAAGCACCGGCTACCGCGATCCATGTAAGGGCATAAAAAACGGCAAAAGCCGAGCTGTGACCACAGGGTAGGCGCACGATTGGCCGCGCAGTACAATGCGACCCCGGGCGTTTGAAGTCAGGGGGATAAAAAGGGGAGCCCGAGGGCCGCGCGAAAAGTTCAACATCTTGGCCGTCAAGACCTCCCAACCCGTCCTGCCTTCTCCAGCCGCTCACAGCGTCCGTGTGACGCCAGTGAGGGCCGCTACGAGGCAGTGTGAGGCATGGCTTTATCGTCCTCTTCCCTCCGCCTCTCACAGCGTCTGTGTGGCGCCGCGAGTACAGCTACTAGGTACATGATAGAACACTTGAGTGAGCAGGAGCATAGATGGTAGGAGGTTAGACTTTTCTCGGAAGATATTCCCCCCTGGGTAGTGCCGACTGGGTAGCTTAGTTTAACACGTAGTAGGCTTTCGCGACCAATATTATTCATAATAAAGGTTTTTGGGTTAGATCGCGTTATTTATAAATGCGTCGTAACCCTCCACCACCCGACACGGCCAATCAGCAAAAAAGTGTCACGTTAACAAAAGACAAAATAGTTCACTACTTTAGCCCACCGGTGTGTTGAAGAGTGAATCCACAACATTTACATTTTTTTGAGTACGACGTTTCGCTGGTAATTACATCCAGCATCATCGGGCAATTCGCCAGAATGGTGAGGCTCTCCTCTTGCTCCCGGTCTTAAATAGAGCAGCAAGGTGACGTTATCATTGAACTCATTCAGGTGCAGTGATTTGAGGGGGGGGGGGGGGTTATTGTAATTATATTATAGATTGGTAATCAGTCAATTGTTATGATTAGTAGTGATTTGTAGATTAGTAATTAGTTGTAATGTGTGTTATTGCAATTATATGCTACGTTAGTGATCAGTTTGTTAGTATTTGTTTCCCCTATAAGGAATTGTAATATGTATTATGATGAGTTCAATGATGATGTCACCCTGCTGCTGCTCTATTTAAGATCGGGAGCAAGTGGAGGGCTTCACCATTCTGGCAAATTGCCCGATGGTGCTGGATGTAATTACCAGCGAAACGTCGTACTCAAAAAATTTAAATGTTGTGGATTCACTCTTCAACACACCGGTGGGCTAAAGTAGTGAACTATTTTGTCTTTTGTCAACGTGACACTTTTTTGCTGATTGGCCGTGTCGGGTGGTGGAGGGTTACGACACATTTATAAATAACGCGATCTAACCCAAAAAACGTTTATCATGGGTAGCTTAATTTGAGGGATTATGGTTTGCGCCGAGAATAAAAGTTAGCACAGAGCATATGTGGTGTGGTGTCTGCGATTTCTGTGTGGAGCGACTGCGTGTGCAAGCCGAGTCCTGGGTAGCGGTGGGGAAACATGTGTGTTTGAGCGAGTGGGGTAATCGTGCAGGCGTGAGTGCGCTCACAGCACCTATTGTCAGCGGGGCCGCGGTGTGCGCGGGCGTGCGCGTTAAGAGTTAATCGCGTGCCAGTGGAAGTGTGCGGTCCCCGCCACGAATAGTTAATCGCTCGCCGGTGACAGCGGGGTTCGCGGCCTCTCTGTTAGCGACAGCTGCGGTATGCACCCGTGTGTGTATTGACCCCGTGCGGCTCTGAGGCCAGCAGCACGAGCATGTCCCTTTAGGAGAGGGCACTAGCGTGGGGGGCCCCGTCACTCGGCCGGCGGGGGCCCGGCGCGAGCCGACCGGCATGGCGGAGGGAGCGGAACGGGCGGACGTCGCGCCCCACCTACCCAGCGCGGGCGGCGGGGTGGACGTCGGGCCGCGCACTTGTTATAAACATTTCCAATAATAACACTACATGTATAACTATTTTTAGTTGATAGATTTTGGGCTTAAGGGAAAATCCATGAGTTCTTAATTTACGTCAAAATCTCGGGTGCACGGTTTATTCGCAAATGTGATATACCGCACGCGAATAATCGGGAGTCCGCCATATGTACACACTCATTGCTTGTTGCTAAGAGCTGCAAAAGTACCGACGACACTTGAAATCGGTGCGAGTGTGGTACACCGAGGTCGTGAGGGTATCTAGGAAACCGGGGGGGGGGGGGGGGGGTCAGTGAAGCCCTGGTTCACCAGTATTGAACTTAAACTTATTCCACACCGTGCGTAGCTAACACGTAGCTAATCAGAGATTAAGTGGAACCGAGCCCACTTGTAACACCACACCTGAACGAGTCTCTCACAAGGAGTGTGGAGCCCCATAGGTTATGTTTTCGTGGGTTATTTGCCCTTTTTTCCACGGGGATCACACCTCCCAAAGCCGCACTGAAACCATATTCCCGTTTCCCACTACGATCGTCGTTCAGGTCGCTTAACCCCTGTGATTCGGGTCGCGACACATCTCCCCGTGATTCTTTGCACGCCCTTTGAGCAATCTTTCCTGTCCCTTTCTCTTCTCCACGATTGCCGTGACGATGTTTCTGAAGCAAAATGGCGGAACGGGAGGTGACCAGGCGGCAGGGAAAGGACTATGCCACCCACTTCAGCCCGCGCGAGTACATGCGCGCGTACTTCAGCACAGCCCAGGGTGACGCGGGGGAGGGCGAGCTCCTGCCCCAGCTCCTCCAGTTCCTGCACTCGGCCTTCGCCACAGGTTCTCGGAGTCACAAGAATGACGGTCACAACAGCAATGACGACAACAAGACAACAGCCTCCGTTCGCTGCTAAAATAGCGGTCATGTCACCACAGTGCTTATGCCAGCCTAAGTGCGCTTTTGAGGATTATCGCGTAAAGCGCGGAAGGCTAGCTGCTGGCAGGAGGTCACGGTACAGTCCCAGGTCTTCTGGGTTGACTGACAGATGACTGGCGGATGCACCACTTGTGCTCCCCACCGTGCCAACTCGCTGCGTGTTAGCCGTCCGTCGCTTTCCGCTCATTGTTGGGGAACCGCTGTGGCGAGGCGTTAAATCCCTCGCGTAGTATGCAGGAGAGGTCGTGGGCTCCATCCTGATGCCTGTTGTATATTTGGAGTTTGCGTGGATTTTTCTCCACATCCTCCGGTTTTCCCTCCTCAATTAGAATCAATGTGCGTTTAGAGTATTTGACTGCAGAAATTTCCACGTGATGATGATGAGCCACTTTGTTGAGCTATCATTTGTGGCCAGGTCGTGTCTGAAATAGAGCTACACAGCTCAGTGGGCCTTTACCTGGTAAAATAAAACATAGATATATAATTTAGTTTCACGTGAAATTGTCAGGTGGAGTGAGGCGTCTTGTGTTATATAGTTTTTAGACACGAGAGGATACACTTGATGCAATAGCGACCGAGAGATCGGACTATAAGCCACACGTACGCCCAGAAAGCAGTTTTGGAAAAATCCATGTTCACGGGGCCCAAGGTAGGTGCTGAACAGCTGAATATGTAGGGGACTGAGCAGTGTGTTGGCTACGTATGGTGCGAAAGAAGTTAAACATACATATATAAATTCATTTATTTTAGAATAGATTTTTGCGTTCAGTTTGTTGTCCTTCCCCGCACCTACAATTAGCACGGTTGGCTACGTACGGTGCGAAAGAAGGTCAACATACATACACTACACTATACGCTACCATACTCTACACACTGCACTATACACTACACTATACATTACATTTCCATACACTACACTAATATACAGTACACCACTATACTAAATTGATAACTAATTTATTTAGGACTGCATTTTGTGTTCAGTTTGTTGTCCTTCTCGCGCACCTCCAATTAGCACAGTTGACTACGTACGGTGCAAAAGAAGTTCATCGTACACACACACACACATGTACAAACACTCCGTGCTTCACTTTGAACCCTTCTTTTATTCTCTCACCGCTTCCAGGCGAGGTGTCGGGCCAGCGCCTCCTGGACGTTGGTTCGGGTCCTACCATCTACCAGGTGCTGAGCGCCTGCGAGAGCTTCCCCGAGATCTACCTCTCCGAGTACGCGCAGAGCAACCGAGAAGAGCTCCAAGGCTGGCTCAACTGCTCCCCCGATGCCTTCGACTGGACGAGCATCGTCCAGTTTGTGTGCCGCCTCGAGGGAAGGAGGCAAGTGCCTCTCTCTCCACCGAGTACGGTCGGCCGAGTAGAGCCGTGAGACTCTAGGATGGTGAAGCGGCCGAAAGACGGGGGGCTGCCATGGTGGCTAAGAGGTGTTACCTTGCCTAACCCGGTATACAGAATGTCATGGATTACATTCCAACCCTGATGCCTGCTATATATTTGGAGTTTGCGTCTCTGTCTCTCTCCATGGCTGCTAGGAATGTTCTCTGGTGTTTTTGTTTTTTCCCTCCAACTTTAGAAACAATGTATGTTCAGAGTATTTGGCTGCTATACATTTTCACTTGATAAGCCACTTCATTAAGCCATCATTTGTGGCCAGGCCGCTTCTTAACAAAAAGTGATATAGCTCAGGTGCGCTTCTGCAGCCGTCTGGAACGCTCTTCCAATATTAGGAAGACATTGGAGCTGTGCACTTTAAATCTAGATTGGAAACTCATTTCTTTCTAACTACTTTTTGTGTTTAGTTTGTTTGCCTTCCTGCGCACCGCTGATCAGCACCTTTGGCTACGTACAGCGCAAAAGCAGTTCAACATACATACAAACCTGGTAAATAAAATTAAATAGTTTAGTTTTTAGTTTAGTTGTTGGTACACTATCGTCGGGGGCAGAGAGAAGGCAGGCTGGCCCTGCATCGGGCTCTTGTTTGTGTGCGTAACGCCGCCATGGTGTGTGTGCGTATGTGAGTAGCGGATGTGAGGAGGAGAAGACGGAGCGTCTACGCAGGGCGGTTCAGGCTGTGCTGCCCTGCGACGTCAACCAGGACGACCTGTTACTCGGGTGAGGCCCCTTTTTGACTAAGCTTAGCTATAATCTTTTTTGTTACTTTACCAGGTAAGGCCCACACTGAACTGCGTAGCTCTTTTTAGAAGCGACCTGGCCACAAATGATAGCTCAACGAAGTTGCTTATTAGATGCAAATGTATGGCAGCCAAATACTCTAAACACGTGATGTTGCTTCTAAATGTGGAGGGAAGAACCGGAGGACCCGGAGAAAAATCCATGCGATCATGGGGAGAGAGATAGAGAGAGAGACACGCAAATCCCAAATATACAGCAGGTGTCAGGATTGGGATTGAACCCACGACCTCCTGTATACCAGGTGAGGTAGTTACCATCTCCTGGCCACCATGGCGAGAGATGTTAACAGAATCAGAGGCGGCAGAGAGGGGGCACAACAATGGTAACACTCGTACCTACCAGCAAGAAGAGCCAAGTCCAATTTTAATTGCTCACAGCTTTTAGAAAAGTCTTAATTCCCCGTTGGTCTGGAGAAAGCAAAAAACTCTTCCGGAAATGTTATTCCGATCAGAAGCAGGAAACTGCAAAAGCCTTCCTCGAATCACTGGACTTGGCATGAAGACAAAGGTGGTGTGAAACAGTGGAGGCGCTTAACTTTACAAAATCGAGCCATTAACCCTGGAGCCTCCGAAGGATGCTGGGAGCAGCAGCCCACGCCAAAATACAAACCTCCACAAGTCAGTCATGACAACATTGCCGGACAGATAATTGGCATCTCATGAGCACCTATCAATAAAAAACACAAGACGGCAAGTTTAGAAAGAAATCTACCATACTCTTGACCGCTGCCAAACAAACCTCCGCTTTCTCCGGTCCTTTCTCAATGGAGGAAGTAGATGTTTATATTGCCAGGATGAAGACCGGTAAAGCCTCAGGCCTCGATGGTATTTACCCAGAATTCATCAAGAACTTGGTACCACGAGCAAGAAAATGGTTTGCCACGTTCCTCACTGATATTCACTCCTCAGGAGTGGGACCATATGAGTGGAAAGTGGCTAAGATCATAACCATTCTTAAACCCGGCAAAGGCCACATTGGTGGCCAAAACTACCGCCCAATCCTCTTCCCTCAGCATCTGCTACAAGCTAATGGAGTGGCTCCTGCTCTAAAGGCTGAGGCCTATGCTTGATAAGATAGTCCCTACGGAACAAGCTGGATTCCGAACTGGCCGAAATTTCTGCGACCAGGTGCTAGGTTTCGAACACCAGCTCAAAACAGGAGCAGCATTCATTGAACTCTTCCTAGAATATGATACCGTATGGTGGAAGGGTCTCCTGCTGAAGTTTGCGATGGCCGTGTCTTGCCGCCCAACGATCAGACTCATCACTACAATTCTGAGCGACCAATGGTTCACCGTCCACCTTGGTGGAGCTGCCAGCAGCCCATGAACATTGAATAATAGGCTCCCACAGGGATCTGTTCTAGCCCCAGTGCTGTTCAATTTCTACACCAGTTACTTTCCGGCAGCATCCTCCCATAAGTTCACTTACGCAAACGACATCACACTGGCAACCCAAGTCCAGACAAAAAATGGACCCTGGAAAAGTTTTTTTTTTAAATCTCAAGAGCTTAGAAGCATACGTTATGAATTGGGGCCTAAAGCCAAACACTTCCAAGAGCATCGTCTCCATCTTCCGCCCCGTCCACCTTCCAAATCTCTCAAGCTCTTTCTCGAAGGCTCGCGATAGCTCTTTTAGACCACGTGACCGCCCAGCGGCCCCGTCCACTGGTGGCCTCCCTCCAATATCATCCGGTCACGTGTCAGCAGGTCAACCAGCGTATCGTGCCCCAACGTAACCCTGGCTGGCTGACGCTCCCTCTCGCTTCCTCACCGGGAGCCCGCACCGCACACTGCTCGCGGTGCCTCCGCGCTGACGAGCGCTCACCCAAGCCACACTAGGGCTGGTACTACGCCCCGCAAGCGGGCTACACGTAATGTCAACACATTATCCGCCATGACTTCGTAAGCCCGGCACCACAGTGACAATCACAGTCACTACACATGTATCAATATTATTATTGAGGGATTGTGCGTTGTCGTGATGTGGTATGGGACTGTTCTTGCTGTTGTTTGTGCTGCCTTGCGCAAGCTTGGGAATTGTATGTATATACGTATGTATACTAAACTTATTTCGCGCCGTACATAGCCAACCGTGCTAATCGGAGGTGTGGGACTTGGTGTACTTATGCAATTGTAACCTGTATACTTAGAAATATATAGTTTTAGTAATTGCTTACCTTTCCTATACTTTGCACTCCGATCGTTATTTTTGTATTGTTTGTTGTTGCAACTTTCTGATCCATCCCTTCTGGACATCTGTGAAAAAGAGCTTCATCCACACCTCCGATTAGCACGGTTGGCTACGTATGGTGAGAAAGAGGTTAAACACACATAGCTCATCGGATTTCTGCAGTCCTAAATAAAGATCCTGATTCTAATAACCAGTAAACATGACCGTTTTATTCTGTATTTCTCCCCATCGGGTCGATCGGGTCGGCAGGTCCACACAGATCCCTGACCTCTTCGACTGCGTCCTCTCCACGCTGTGCCTGGAGGCTGCGTGCGACTCGGTCGAAGGCTTCGGTGCTGCGCTGAGCCGGATGTGCGGGCGCCTGCGTCCGGGCGGGTGGCTCGTCATGGCCACTGTGTTGCAGGAGACATTTTACCGCGTCGGCGTCGAGACCTTCAGGGTGCTGCCCGTGGACGAGGGCAACGTGGTGGACGCCGTGAGGGCGGCGGGGTTGACGGTCCGCCGACTGACCAAGCACGGGGCGCCTGACGTCGCTGGAAGGGAGAGGGCCTCTGACTTCAAGGGGTTGCTCTTAATCGTAGCGCAGAAAAAATAACGTCCATTTTTTGTGTTTAATTTAGTTTTCCTTCCACCCCACCCCCCACGCACCTCCGATTAGCATGGGTAGCTTTGTACGGTGAAAAAGAAGTTCAAACTACATAAACTAATTTAATTCGAACTGCTTATTGTGTTTAGTTTGCTATACTACCCCCACAACTTCGATTAGCATGGTTGGCTACGTACGGTGCGAAAGAAGTTCAACATACATACAGTGAGGGAAAAAAGTATTTGATCCCCTGCTGATTTTGTACGTTTGCCTACTGACAAAGAAATGATCAGTCTATCATTTTAATCGTAGGTTTATTTGAACAGTGAGAGACAGAATAACAACAAAAAAATCCAGGAAAACGCATGGATTTTGTTGTTGCTATTCTGTGTTCATGGCGTCTGATGAGTATTTTCGATTGTGATTTAATCCCTACACATGTGTAGTGAGTCCAACTGAGTCGCAGGCGTTATCTTGGGAGCAACCCTATGTATTCCGCATTAACACGCAACATAACACAATCTACACTTGGGTCTCGAATGCCCATCTAACCACGCTACGGCAGAACTAGACACGGTTCGCTATCCTGGTCCGGACCACAAGCTTGGTCCCGGACCGCGTGGCTAGAGGCGGCTTCTCCCCGACGTGGATCTTCGTAACACCAGCACACGAAGAACCCCGAGCTCCTCACGGGGCTCCCGGGCTGGGGCTGGCTCCGCCCTTCGCCTCTCTCGAGCTCCTTCTCGAAGGTTCCCGAGAGCTCCTTTAGACCACGTGACCGCCCCATGGCCCCCGTCCACCGGTGGCCCCCCACCAATATCATACGGTCACGTGACAGCAGGTCAACCAGTGTATCATGCCCTAAGGTAACCCTGGCTGGCTGACGCTCCCTCTCGCTCCCTCACCGGGAGTCGGCCCCGCACACTGCTCGCGGTGCCTCCGCGCTAACCAGCGCTCACCTAAGGCCTGCTAGGGTTGGTACTACATCCCGTAACCTGGGCTACCCGTAGTGACAACACATTACTGGCCGTGGCTTCGCAAGCCCCGGCACCATACAGTGACGAGTACAGTCACTACACATGCATATCAACACGTTAATTGCGTGTGACATAAGTCAATTCATTTTTACTTTACCAGGTAAGGCCCCACTGAGCTGTATAGTTATTTTTTCAGAACCGACCTGGCTATCACGAATGATAGCTCAACGAAGTGGCTTTTCATCATCAACATGTGGAAATGTATAGGAGCCAAATGCTCTTAACGCATGACGTTGTTTCTAAATGTGGAGGGGATAAAAATCCACGCGACCATGGGGAGAGAGGCACCGCAAACTCCAAATATACAGCGGGTGTCAGGGTCGGGATCTAACCCACGACCTCCTGTATACCAGACGAGGTAGTTAACATCTCATAGCCACAGGGATGATGGTGAGAGAGAGAGACACACACACAAACTACAAATAACATTTCACCAGTCAGTACGCTGTGAGGACACGGCATCACCATGTCAGCAGTGGACATTCCACATTCCCATGGTGGGTTGCCTCAACTCATCCAAGCATGGCACTTCTCAAGACTGCTACTAATTTTATCAAATACGGATGGAGTGTTGGCCGAGTTGATTCTTGACAAGGATCCCAACTCACAATCTCACATTTTGTTGAGATTTTAATTCTGCAATATGTGTGGTTGAATGATGGATGGCGGCTGTGTGGCTGCATAAAGGATTTTTATTTTGGTTGAATTAAAAATGGTGACTGTGCAGTCGAATAAAGAATCACTGGTTGAATAATGATTCATAATAAAGTTTTTTGGGTTAGATCGCGTTATTTATAAATATGTCATAACCCTCCACCACCCGACACGGCCAAACAGTAAAAAATGTGTCAGGTTTACAAGAGACAAAATAGTTCACTACTTTAGCCCACCGGTGTGTTGAAGAGCGAATCAACATCATTTACAATTTTTGAGTACGACGTTTCGCTGGTAATTACATCCAGCATCATCGGGAAATTTGCCATAATGAAGCCCTCCACTTGCTCCCGGTCTTAAATAGAGCAGCAGGGTTACGTCATTTAACCCAATTCGGTGCAGTGATTTGAGGCAGAGGGGGAGGGTATTGTAATTATATAATAGATTGGTAATCATTCAATTGTTGTTAATTAGTATTTGCTTCCACTATTAGAAATTGTAACATATATTTTATTTAATAATACGCTTCCAGGCCGCACTAAACCTGTAGCTGTCCGAGCAATTCAAGTTATTTGTATTTCTCTCAATTTTTATTTATTCTCTAATTAGGCTTGGTCAGTAATTCGTTTTACACAACACTTCAACGTTATCAAAATCAATTGAGTGGCCTTGTTGACAAGCATGCTCTGCCACTGCCGACATTTGTGTTTGAGATCATTTAATATTTCTTTGGTGTACTTTTAGTCTTATGCTGTTACGTCCCGTCTGTCCAATATAGCATCTGCCACATAAACAATTAATCCGATATACACCTGTTAGTAATTTAGGTAATTCGTCTTTAGTGCAAGATACTAGTTTTTGCATTTTGTGGACCGTACTAAATCTGACTTTATTGTTTTGCTTTTGCAAAACACGGGCCAATTTGTCAGTTACTCCTGAGATATATGGTATTTTGATTGTTTTAACAATCTGATCGCTTTCAGCAGTGTTGCTTTGCGTTCGTGATTTGGCATTCAGTGTTCTGTTAATTTGAGCATTATTGTAGCTATTCTGTCGTAGTGCTTCTTTAACATGTTTAATCTCCCTCACTAGACTTTCACCATCTGACACTGTTTTAGCCCGATGTATGAGTGTCTTGATAATAGAGGATTTCTGAGCTGGGTGATGATGTGAATCTACATTCATTCATAATAAAGGTTTTTGGGTTAGATCGCGTTTATTTATAAATGTGTCGTAACCCTCCACCACCCGACACGGCCAATCAGCAAAAATAATGTCACGTTGACAAAAGACAAATAGTTCACTACTTCAGCCCACCGGTGTGTTGAAGAGTTAATCCACATTTACAGTTTGAGTACGACGTTTCGCTGGTAAATACTTCCAGCATCATCGGGCGAATTGCCCGATGATGCTGGAAGTATTTACCAGTTTGAGTACGACGTTTCGCTGGTAAATACTTCCAGCATCATCGGGCGAATTGCCCGATGATGCTGGAAGTATTTACCAGTGAAACGTCGTACTCAAACTGTAAATGTGGATTAACTCTTCAACACACCGGTGGGCTGAAGTAGTGAATTATTTGTCTTTTGTCAACGTGACACTTTTCTTTGCTGATTGGCCGTGTCGGGTGGTGGAGGGTTACGACACATTTATAAATAAACGCGATCTAACCCAAAAACCTTTATTATGAATAATATTGGTCGCGAAAGCCTACGTGTTAAATCTACATTCAGATAGTCATCAGTGTGCTTTCGGTAAACGCTGTGTCATTTTTGTCATTTAGGCCATGTCCAAGCAAAATATCTAGGAACGTGAGTGTGTTATTCACCTCCATTTCCATGGTGAACTGGATGGCGGGTTTTGTGCATTGAGATGATTTAGAAATCGTTTAAGTGTATCTTTACCATGTGGCCAGACAACCAAAGTGTCATTCACATATCTAAACCAAAAATATGGTTTTAATGTACTCGAGGCAAGTGCTCTTGTTTTAAAGTTTTCCATGTACAGATTTGGATAGCGGGAGATAAAGGAGAGCCCATTGCGGCTCCTTCCTTTTGTTTAAAGAAATCACCTCTCCACAAGAAGTGTTATTTAAACAAAGGTCAGCTAGTTTCGCGATGTCTTTTGGTAAACCTGTATTATTTACTAGTGTATCAAGTAGTTTAAGCGACTCCTTCACTGGAACCTTTGTGAATAGAGAAATCACATCAAAACTCACTAGAATGTCATTAGGGTTAAGTTTAATATCTTTCACCATATTCACAAGATGTTCTGATTTTTTTACGAATGAAGCCGTCCTACCGATGTAGGGCTGTATTTGTTTAGTTATATATCTTCCTAAATTATATGTGGCAGAGCCAATTGAACTGACTATGGGTCGTAATGGGATGCCGATTTTATGAATCTTTGGTAGCCCATACAGTCTAGGTGGTTTTGAGGCCCTTGGCTTAATTTGGTTTTGCTCAGTCTTAGGGATTTGCAATGATTGCATGTCTTACGTTCTAAAGTATTAATTAGATTCTACATATTCTTAGTTTTTTCGGTAAAGTCACGTTGAAGAGAAACAACAAAATAACAAAATATATATAAAACAATAAAAAATTCTCACGACGTTTCGACCATAACTCAAACGGTCATCATCAGGTGTGTCGGTTTGCATAAATTTATTTTGAAAAGGCATATATATTTATTTATATATATAAAAAATAACGTTTGCGTCACGCGCAACGATTGGCAGTTTGCCAGGACTAGTCCATCTATTTTTTGAAAAGAGGAGGGGGGAGACGAAATTTGTTTTTATGTATGCTGTCTGAAAGCCACTGTAAGCGTGAACAATCAATCAAGAACTGAAATGATTTATCAAATCTTTCCAATGATTGCTAAGATAGAATCCATCTTCTCGGTTGAAATTGTCTCTGTGCTTGTATATGTGGATAGCCTCATGAACGAATCTCTCATGGAAGCCAGATGGCTTACAAAGAACCTCCGTCTTGGAAAAGTCAATGGCATGTGAGCCTACTGAATTAGAACAATGATCTGCCAATCGTTGCGCGTGACGCAAACGTTATTTTTTATATAAATAAATAAATATATATGCCTTTTCAAAATAAATTTATGCAAACCGACACACCTGATGATGACCGTTTGAGTTATGGTCGAAACGTCGTGAGAATTTTTTATTGTTTTATATATATTTTGTTATTTTGTTGTTTCTCTTCAACGTGACTTTACCGAAAAAACTAAGAATATGAATTACTGCAGTCACGAAAGCTTTAAATCAAAATTTAATCGCCTCTACGGGGAGGGTTTTCACATAACTTTAAGATCGTTCAACAAACTCCGGGATAAGAAAGCTCAGCTGATCGAGTCTCTCACCTTCCTGAAGAGATGCCGCGACTCTGGGGTAATACCAATCGCATTTACACTCACCTCTGCTACTGT